TTTACAGGTGATCATGTATTGTGTTACATTATATTTCTGGAAAATTTAAGGGTAGTTATATAATAATTTTGGACGATCTCAGGCAGTTGGATACTTATGACCACTACTGTACTCCTATAAAAAATGCATATATTCATTATCTAATATAGTAACAACCTTGAAAATAATTATAAGACTTTTACCTATTTTATACAACAACATTTTTATTCTTATCCATCTTAATAATTAACCTAAAATTTTTTTATAACAATATTATCTGATTTAACAAGTAACTATTTTTGATTTTATATAATAACTTTACTTATTTTAATGGTAACCTATATGTAGAGTTTTCGAGGTTCTCTTCTAATATTTTTAGAATATAGTGAAGTTTTGGCACAAAAAAGTTCAGCTGATACACCTCATGCTAAAGGATATAGCAAAAATTTTATATGAAGTGAGTTATGGTAAAACAAGTTTGTTTTGCTTCTACCAAATCATAAATGCTAAATTTTACATCAAAATTCTAAAGAACTATATTCTAGAAATTGATGAAATGCTTAGAGATGATTAGCATTTTCAGCAAGATAATGATCCAAGACATACAAGTTGTTTTGCTAAGAAATTTGTTCAAAACAATATCCTGAAAGTTATGGATTAGCCCTTGAACAGTTTTAACTTAAATCTGATAAAAAATTTGTAGACCATTATTAAGGTGAATGTAGAATGCTAAATGTTAAAAAATTTCACTGAATTGGAGAGATTTATGGCTGAAAAATGGAAGGAAATCCTGGATGACATTTTAATGAATCTTACAGGTTTGATGAAATGACATTGCAAGCTCATTATCAAAAATAATGAAGAATGAATCTCCTATTAAATTCTATTATTGTAATGAGCTCATTTCCACCTTTCAAATAAAAAAATTTCATGTTATTATATATTGTCAACATGAAATTATAACCGTTTTTAAAATTCTGATTTTTTTTGCAACACATTGTATTTGTTGAAAGTTGCAGAAGAGAAAAAATATGAATGAAATGAAAAGTAGAACCCTTACATATCGCGATAAAATATTTTGGAGTACAGAAATTTTGGGGTATGAATATGTACGAATTTTCACGTGATAAACTATGTTACTGTGACTTACATAGCGTTGCCCTGAAAAAATGGTAGCCGGATTTTATTTGCCGGGTCACATATTTTTAAGGTTAATATTAGAGTTAGATTTGGATTAGGATTAGGGTAGAATTAGGATTAGTTGGAACTTGGGAGAGAAAATGTTAATTGTCACAATTGACGTCACCCTAATAAGTATATGTGACCCGGCAAATAAAATCCGGCTATCATTTTTTCAGGACGACTGCCCTTACCAGAATAAATATCCTCTTCGCCAAGTAATGAGATATAGTAAATCATATGATCCGTAGGAGGTTATTTGGAAGATTTGCTAACTTACATAGCGTCGCACGGAAAAAATGGTAGCCTGCTACTCATTTTTCGGGTTAAGGTTTGCTATTAAATCACGTTACGGATCATATTATCTACTATGTTCGTAACTTGATTTTAATAGCAAACCTCCATTTGTCTTCGTGTCTCTCTTTAAGAGGTAAATTTGCCAGTCGTTCGTGCCTTTTGAGCCTGTCGTTAGAGAGAACTTAATCTCTCCTGATGTGGAATATCTTACCTTCGAATGAGTCACTGCGGTCCTGTCATACAATCATTTATGTACTTATATATATCATCTGAATTTTTATACAATTACAAAAATGTCTTTTTTCAGTTGGTATAAAAATCACTTAACGAGACGACCGATTTTGATTCAATCTATTACCACGGGTAAATTTGTAATATTTGTTCACGAATATTCATTATTTAGTTAATTCAATGTTGATGATTTTTAGGAACGTTATTTGCTACGGGAGATGTTATAGCTCAACAATTTGTTGAACAAAGGGGATTGGAATCTCATAATTCTTATCGAACTTTAAGACTTGGAGGATTTGGTTTATGTGTAGCAGCAAGTATTTGATGCTTATAAATTCCGTGATTATAAAATTTTTTTTTTTTAATTTCTTTTATGTTTATCAATAGGGACCATCCACAGCTCTTTGGTATCGATCTTTAGATCGATTTGTTACGATTAAAAATCCCATGTTAGGTAATTCATATTGATGTAAAACACTTTGTCTTTAATTCTATCATTTAAATCATTTTTATCACCATAATTATAATCTTTGTACAGGGTTAGTAACGCGCGTTTCGCTAGACCAAGCTTTATTCGCTCCATGTTTTATTACAACATTTTTTATATGTCAAGCTTTAATGGAAGGTCAAGCTAAATCTCAGATTTTAGAAAAACTTGGAGATGTAAATATGTTCTCTATAATTTACGGAGAGATTATTTTTATGCTAATTTCTTCTATCAACTTTTTATCAACAGGTTTTCGTGCCTACTTTAATTAATAATTATAAATTGTGGCCAGCAGTACAATTAGTCAATTTTCATTTTGTACCATTGAATTATAGGACTTTGATTGTCAATTGTGTTGCTCTTGGTTGGAATACTTATTTATCCGTTATTAATAAGAAAAGTTCCGATAAAGTAAATGATAAAGGGGAGAAAATTAATACACCTTTGTAAATAAATTGATCATAAATTTAAATATAAATCATCCTTTTCTTTTTGTTTTAATATATAAAAATATATTTCACTTGTTTTTCCTACTTAAATTGCTATCAAGTAAAATTTCTAATGTAACTATCCTACGTCCAAATCATGAAAATATGCCATTCTTTTCTTCAATACCAAATCATCCTAACAAAATCTATATCTTCATAAGATAATTCAGATATGCAAGATCAATAAAAGATTACAGGCGTCGTTACTTGAAATGGATTAAGCTATGTGCGCGATCAAGCGAAGTTTTGTCAGTGTATGAATGGTGGTTTTTTAAATGTCGTATAGTTTTAGAAACTTGAATAAATACAAAACCGAAGTACCTATTTGTGTTATCCCAACAACCACATGAACGTGAGGTCAGCTAATCAAGATCCAATGACCAATCAAATTTAGTTGATCTGATCAAAAAAAGCATCTATTGTAAATTAGCTTACGAAATTTGAAATGTAAATCTGTAATAGAATTCATGCCTCCTAATAATAAAATTAAAAAATCTGAAAATAAAAAAAATGAAAAAATTAATTACGATACCGCACAAAGAAGGATTTTGCAACATACCAAAATATTAGAATCAAAAGAATATATAAGTGATGATGATTCAAATACGACTAGACTCGGTTTTCACTCTTCGAATGACAAAGAAAGTACTGGTAAGCTTGTAATTAAAAATTTTTTTTTTGAATTGGAATTCGGTTTAACAAACATTTTGTAACAAATGTATATAGTTACTACGATTCGAATTGGTGATGTTTCTTTAAGGGTTACCATGTCTAAACGTCCTGAATTGGTTCCTCATTATATTGATCCGCTTTTTGAAGAATCACAAGTTTGTATATTCATAATTCCAGTATCGATTCTTTCTTGATGTTTAAATATTTAACCAATTCACGTTTTGTTTTGATTTTATATCACCTGATTGCAATTACCAGGAAGTTCTGAGACATTTAAGATGGTAAGTCTGAAACGTTAGGTAAAACTATGGCAAAACATGAGTATTCGACTGATGTAAATCATATTTATATAGGATAATGCAAAAAGACAAATTAAAACAAGATATATTCCTCATCGGGTATATAAAAATATTACCTAATTATTAATTTGATTTTTCTGTATTTTTACCCACTCAAACTAATTAACCAATACTTGTTATAGACTTCCCGGGCATTTACGTAGGGGACTAGTTCTCAAGTATGCTCAACTTACAAATCGAGAAATCGAGTACGTTCCTTTATCAAAAGATTGTACTGATTCGGATTTAAAACAGCGTCGTGAAATATCTGGGGGGACTGCGTATTACATAGATCAAGCTTGCGTTAGAGCTGCTACCAATGGTCGAATATTAATCTTGGACGGTATTGAAAAAGCCGAAAGAAATGTTTTGCCGATATTAAATAATTTATTGGAAAACAGAGAAATGTCATTAGAGGATGGAAGATTTTTGGTACATCCAAAACGGTATGACTCTTTAGCAAAAAATAATAAAAAAAGCGTGATGGATGATTGGAAACTTGTGAGGGTTTCAGATCAATTTATTGTTATGGCTCTTGGTCTACCAGTTCCACCTTATGTTGGACATTCTCTGGATCCTCCGCTTAGATCAAGATTTCAATCAAGAGATGTAAAACCACCCGGATTTGATTCTTATATCAGACATTTAAGAAAATTGGCGCCTGATGCAAATCCGGAATTAGTTGAACGATTAGCATCTGTGGCAACCGTTCTTGGATCAATGTCATTTGATGAAGGTGGAATTGAGATTCCGGAATTTCCGAGTTCAGTGGATACAAGTGCTCTTGTTTTGCAAAAATTTCCATATATTAAACCAAGATTTTTGTTGGACTTGTTATATCCATGGCCTTTGCTACCAACTTGTGCTGCTGAACAAAAAGATGTTATTGAAGCGACTTATCATCGTTTCGGGATGCTAGGTTTTGAAATTAATAAGCCAGAAAAACTCAGGACGGAAAGTGGCAGTAGTAAGCCTGAGGAAGATATTGTTTTTCAATGTATGCCTGGATATAATGTTACTGATATAAAATTATCAGAAAGTAAGGAAAGAGCTATAGCCAGTGACCTTCCTATTCATAAAATTGATTTAAATTTCCATTCTGAGGTGGCGGGGTTAAAAGATCATTTAGTTCAAGTTTTTGGAGGTGATGAAGATCCTTCGACTGCAGATTTCTTTGTTGAGACTAATTATCACAAAAACTTATTTAATTCAATGTTAATTACTCATTCTGTGGGAGATTTTTGTGTACTTGGAGGAAAAGGTGTTGGTAAAAGTGCATTAGTAAGGCATTTTGCCATAAATCTTGGGTATGTTATATAACAAGTTTAATTTAAATTCATGTATATAATAATAACAAAATATCTTTTTTTTTTTTAAAGGTATACTATTGAATACATCCCATTATACAAGGACATGTCTGCTCGCGATCTTTTACAACGTCGCGGCACAACCTTTGCAGGAGATACAATCTGGGAGAATTCATCATTAGTAAAAGCAGCGTTATTTGGTAGTTTAGCCGTTATGGATGGTATCGACACACTTTCATTTGGAACGATCGTGACATTACAACGCTTGATAAAAGAACGTGAGATATCACTTCCTGATGGAACTCAATTGATTCATCCATTTAGATATCAGAAATTAATAGAAGGTCATGGGTTCACAAAAGAACAATTGGATAAAAAGGGAATCTTTGCTATTCACCCAGCATTCAGAATTATAGCCTTAGGACGTCCCGTTAGTGGTGGAAGTGGTGAAGGAAGACCTGGTGCCTGGTTATCACCGGAAATCGTCTCAATGTTTCAGTTCGTCGTTGTGCGCTCATTGGATTATCAAGAAGAAATGCGTGTTCTTGAAACTTTGTCTCCTGGGATAGATTCTAATAACCTTTCGTTGCTATTGCAATTTGCCAATCGACTTCGTAAAGGTTCTGATGAAATCGTAAAGACACTATCTAACGCACTTTCTACACGGTAAATCAAAATTAACGATAATAATGTATCCATTCTAGGTAATTAATTTTCTGTTGTATTTTTGTAGACAATTGATCAGGATTTGTCGTAGACTTGCATTGTTTCCGAATGATAGTTTGTATGAAGCTATTCATAGAGTTTCTTTATCAAGATTCTTACCATCTTTAGCCAAAACGGCATTGGAAGAATTAATGGCCAGCAATGGCATTTTACCTCCAATGAAAGTTGTTAATGTTGAACAGGTAAATTGTCTAAATTAATGTCTTCATACGTTATATAAGTTTAAGAAAAAGAAAAAAAATGAAAAAAAAATTTTTTCCATATATAGTTGAAAATTGATGTGCTTCCGTCAAGGTCAAATCCTCAAATATTGAAAATAGGAAATGTTGAAGAACCATTAGCTAAGGATTCGAACCCACTTTTAATTCCTGATATTGTCTTTCATGAAAATCCTAAACAAACAGAAATTCTCATGCAAATGTTGCAAGATTATCAATTAGGTATTTGAACATAACAATCTTATCAGAAAACGAATGTAATATGTTAATATAATTATGTTTTAACAGGGGAGCACTTGTTATTGATTGGTAATCAGGGAGTAGGAAAAAATAAGTTGGCAGATTACTTTTTGCAATTGTTGAGATTACCTAGAGAATATATCCAATTGCACCGGTATGTTTAAATATTTTAAAATTTGTATTTTAAATACGGATGATTAAAACTTCTATGTTGTTTTTTAATGATTGTAGTGACACAACAGTGCAGAGCTTAACGGCTACACCTTCTATCGTAGATGGTGTTTTACAGTTTGAAGATTCTCCGTTAGGTATGGATTTTAAGACCAAACACATTCATTTATATTATCATGATATTTATACTAATTCCACATTCTTCATATAGTTAAGGCTGTTAAAAATGGTAATTAAACGTATTAAGCTTATATATATATTATTGTCATGCTTTATATAATAACTATAAATTATGGACATTACAGGATATGTATTAGTGGTTGATGAAGCAGATAAAGCACCAACTTATGTAACAGCCGTGCTAAGAAATCTTCTTGAAGATGGTCAAATGGTTTTAGGTGATGGAAGAAGAATAGTGTCTACAATATCATCTAAAGATGCTAAAGAATGTATTGTTATACATAGAAATTTCAGAATGATAGTATTGGCGAATAGGCCAGGTGGGAATTTGTCTATGCGTAAGATGTAAATTAAATCTTTAATAACATTTATTTGTTCATATTTATAGGATTTCCTTTCCTTGGTAATGATTTTTATAGGGAAATTGGGGATGTTTTCAGTTGGTGAGCAATTGTTATTATGATTTCTTTTGTTAAACTATAAATAATTTTTGGTTTTAATAGTCACGCTGTAGACAATCCCGATTCAGAATCTGAAATGTTTCTGTTGACAAGATATGCACCAGATATTTCGGAGGATTTACTTCTTAAATTGACAGCAGCATTTGGTGATTTAAGAAAATTAGTAGACGAGGGATTGATTTCTTATCCATATTCCACTAGAGAATTGGTCAATATTGTTAAGCATATGCAGGTAAATAAGCATTCTTATGAATATCGTGTTTAACTACGTAATTTACTAAATAGAACTTTAACTTTATTCGAGATAGCAATATCCTGATGAAGGAATCTCGCGTATATTACAAAATGTTTTTGATTTTGATCAATATGATAAAGATTCAAAGGATCTTTTAATTGAAACCTTCCAGAAACATGGAATTCCCGTTGGATTAGAATCAGATTTTTCGATTAAATTAGGGAAAAGGATACCGTTGAGTAAACCTATAGTTACTGAACTTTGGACAAAATCAATTTCTGATAATAAAGTTTGCGTAGTTAAACAGGAACCTATAATATTTGGTGTATGTATAAATATAAATGTTGTTTATGGAGATGAATTGATTAATTCTAATGAAGATTTTTTTTCTAGGGGGACTGGGAAATTAAAGTT